TCAGTCCAGACCCGAAACGTCAGCCTTCCTGCTCCTCTGATGCTGCCTGGCCTGCTGTGTTCATCCAGCTCCACACCTTGTTCACAACAATTTGCACCTTGTGTAGTAACTTTGACCCGATAACACATTGCAAGGCATCTCGCAGGAGCAGAATTTAACACCGAGACAAGTAAGGAGGTGTCCAGGGATCCATTCAAGAAAGAGAGTGACTGTCATTCACCATCATAGGTCAGTGCCGATTCGATGGGCCGAAAGGCCTCGTCTGTATATAGTGATTGTAATGAGGTCAGCTGGGTGAACATCATTTTTTAATTCATTCATGGGATGAGGGTGTCACTGGCTAGGCCAGCATTTATTGTCCATCCCTAATTACCCAGAGAACAGTTCAGCGTTAACCACGTTGCTGTGAGTCTGGAGTCACATGTAGGCCAGAAACCAAAGGGCCATCACAACCAGAATTGAAACCTTTTTAGACCCGGAGAGACCAGAGGATGGCATATTATTATGGTGAGCAAAAGTGATTGTCCCAAGCAAAGGTCACTGCCAGATACTGGCTGAAGTCCATCAGGGTCATCCAGGGGTTTCCAAAATGAAGATATTGGCAAGAATTCTGATAGCCAGGATTGGATGCAGACATTGCTGTGTTGGTGGGGCAGTGCCCAGTGTGCCAACAAAGACAGCATCTATGACCAGCAGAGATAACAAGGTGTAGAGCTGGATGAACACAGCAGGCCAAGCAGCATCAGAGGAGCAGGAAAGCTGACGTTTCGGGCCTAGACCCTTCTTCAGAAAGCAACTCCCCACATTCATGGAAATGGCCAGGTAAACTCTGGACTTGGTTACATGGTGACTATGCGGGTCCTTACGTGAGCTCAATGATCGTAGTCATTCTGGACACCCACTCTTAGTAGCTGAACGTGCACAGAGTTAATTCGTCAAACACAGGGACAACAATAGAAAAACCTTGAGCATCTTTTGCAATACATGGACTCCTGGGAGTGTTGGTCACAGATAACGGGCCATCGTTTACCGGCATGGAGTTTGAGTATTTCCTAAAGTCAAATGGCAAGTGACATATAAGGACAGCTCGATGCCATCCATTGTCCAATTATCTGGCAGTAAGAGCAGTCGAAATTTTGTAGGCAGGCTTAAGGAAACAGCCTACAGCTTCACTCGATACCAAACTGCCCTGGTTCCTTTTTGATTAGAGGACCATCCCTCATGCAACTACAGGGATAGCTCCAACAGAGTTGCTAATGGGGAGAAGACTCAGCACCAGGTTAAATCTGATCTTCGCAGACCTGGGGGGGGAGGGGGAAATGCCATCAGGAACACCAATACCGTTTATTTCAGGGGATGACATTTGGTGTAGGAACCACGGGAATGGCCCTGCATGTGTAAGAGGCATGATCGATGCAAGGTCAAGCCCAGACGTATAAAAGTTTGGGCAGGTGCGATGGTCCTGAACAAGCATGTGGACCATATGAAAGCTGCAAACTCACAAATAGTG